CCCCAAAACCCCAAAACCCCAAAACCCCAAAACCCCATTAGAATTCTTAGAATTGAATTTTAATTTCTTTGGTAATTTATTTCTGATTTGCAACTTCTCTAACCATATCATAAAACTTATCAGGCAATCTTTTATTCTTTCCCATATATACATTCAGATTCTCATATGGTTGTTTCTTTTTATGAATAAATCTGTATAAGACCTCCTTTGTCTCATGTTTATTAAGGTGGAAGGAATGTTTCATTATTTTTCGAAGCTGCTTCTCAGATAAGCCTGCAATCCTCTTTATGTGGCTGATCGCATCAATTACATTAATTTCTCTATTAAGATCTCCCATTTTGGCTTTGAGTTCCATGTCCTTGTCGTTGATCCTTTTTCCTTGGATGACCATTGTTGCTTCTCCTTTGAGGTTGATTTCTTCGTCTTCGTATTTCTCAAGGAGGTAGTCAACTGTTCCTCTGAGGTTCTTTTCATACATTTTGGTAAGTTCAGTACCGATGTAGACTAGGGTTTCAGGGCCATAGGTTGCCATGATATCGTTGAGGGTCCTCTGGATTCGCTTTGGGTTTTCGAATATGATAGCTGCTGCTCCTGTAGAATTAAGATATTTCAAAGTATTTATCCTCCTTCCTTGAGTTTTACTCAGATAACCTTCAAAGATGAACCGATCTGTGATTAGACCTGAAGCTGCTGCGGCTACGAGGCTTGCAGATGGACCTGGAAGAGACTCTATGGAGATACCTTTGTTATAGCACTCGTTTACTAGACGGTATCCTGGGTCTGAGATTGTTGGAGTACCTGCTTCACTCACTAATGCTACTTTCATTCCAAATTTCATTGCTCGAATTATTCTTGGAATTCTTGCATCCTCATTATGCTCATACAGAGAGATTAACATACCTCTTCCTTTCTGTGCTTTAATTTTATCAAATTGACTTTTAGAGGCTTGAGTGAATTCACTTTCCAGACCATAATTGTACTCATCTTCAAAATCGTCAGAATCATTATCTCCGGATTCTGTGTCCCATTGTGAATAATGGTCATCTTGGCCCATAAAAGGCTCATTAAGATCCTGTTCCTTTCCAGATGCTTTATATTGCTTCCAGGTCATACCCTTCATTGAATCAAGTCTATTGGATTTTAAGATAAGTTCTTCTTGAACTTTAGCTTTGATTTTCTGACGAAGACGATCTGAGATTTGGAGGATCATATTTTTACGATTTTCATAATCAACACTATCTTCAACCTTCTTGTAAAACTCCTTCTCTACTTCTTTGGCTAATTTCTCGTCAAATTCTTGAGGATTCTCAATAAAAGTATTGAAATTTGAGAAAGTGTTCATCTCCAATTCTTTTTGGAGAACTGTGAGCATTCTCTTTCCTTGATCATCAAGCTTGACTCCGGTGTCAGTGAGTCTTATTTTATCTTTTATGTATTTCTGGATGGCTCTGACCTCTTGTTCTTCAAATTTATCTCTTTTCTCTTTGGAAAGATTGCGATTTGGATTTGTGCCTTCAAGTTTAGGGATATACTCTTCCTTTTCTTCGAGGCTAAGGGGTTGCTGAGAGGAGAGGTACTGTTCAGCTTGGTTTTGGGTATCTTCAACAGGCCACCAAGTTTTAGAAGCAACTGCTTTTTCATATTTCTCGTCAAGACCTGTGATATCGTGTGTTTTTATCCTATAATACTCTGTTTTAGGTTGTTCAGGCTGGACGATTTCTTCTTCGGGAGTCATTGATTCTTGAAATTCTTCAGTCTGGTATTGCTTACTTTTAGTGTCACGAATATCATCAAAGATAGTGTCTGAAGGATCATTGTCGAATTTAGCACCAAGGTTTGTCCTGAAGAGTTCCTGTATTTTTCTTTCTTTGATAAGCTCAAGGAGTTTACCGGTGGTTCTGGTATCTTCGCAGGCGATGATGTCAGCAGATGTAAGTGCTTCATACTGTCTGAGAGACATATCTTTGAGATTTCCAATAGGAGTAGGCACGATTACCAAGCTTCCTCCATATTTTGGCATAGTGTCTGTCACTGTGATGGTATCTCCTTCGGTATAGTAGAAGGATCCCTCATCTTCAGTGTATTTTGTACAGAATGGACGGAAAAGGACTGGTTTTCTAAAAGCAGAGCGGAAGGTGTTCTGGATTCAGAATTTTCTAAACATCATTTTTTATCTGAATATATATTAATTTTTCAACCATAAAAAGACTATTGGGGTTTTGGGGTTTTGGGGTTTTGGGGTTTTGGGGTTTTGGGGTTTTGGGG